ATAATACATGGTAAAGTAATAGGGGTTAAAGAATTATGTCTGATCCATGCAGGTAAAAGGCTCTTCATGTTTGGATGCTCAATTATCCGATATTTGCATAAGTACTTCTGCAGCTCCAACCTACCTTCCAGCCCATTACTTCAAGACCCAAGATAACAAAGGGAATGTTCGAGAATATAATCTTATTGATGGGGGTGTTGCTGCAAATAATCCGGTAAGAATTAAATTATGTATAAGATATTATTCCACTTACAATTACATATTTATCTTTAACACTGGGACCTACAGTTTGACAAATTGTAGAAGATGCCTTTTTCTCCCTTAATGAATCCACAAAATGTAGATGACACCCTTAAAATTAGCGACCACAAATCAAAAATCAAATATCAAGAGTGAAAATGAATGTGTGTATGTATTCAGAATCTCCTTTCACTCGTGCATCCATTTATGGATGGAAATATGTTGTGGTCTAAGGAGCATGACTTCTCCTCGACTTGTTAAAAGCACCACGTTTTAATGAGCATTGCTAGACTTATCAAATTGTTTACTTAAATTTTGTATACCAAACCAGTACGAGTGATTGGAGTTGTCGGTCTCACTTACTCCCACTACACATTCAATATTGTAGAGGTTTCGTCACATTATTTGGTATACAATATTTGATAACTTCATTTAGAATGTATATACTAACTCGTTCAATCAAGTCATGACCTCAAATTATGCATGCTAGTACTAACTCGTTCCATCCCTATATGTCTATGTAAGAATTGCACATGGATTCGACGTGACAAATCTAATATTAGTAATAAACTGCAAAAAAAAAAAAAAAAAATCTGAATTTAATATCGTTGTTTATTTCTTGATGAAATGCTTTCAGACTTTGGTTGCCATTAGCGAAGTGACAAAACAGGTCATTGAGAACAATCCAGACTTCTTTCCCATCAAGCCCATGGACTATGCTCGATATCTAGTAATTTCAATTGGCACAGGGGCAGCAAAGATTGAACAGAAATACAATGGTAAAATGGCTGCCAAATGGGGAGTTCTAGGCTGGTTAATTCATGGAGGTTCGACTCCATTGGTGGATGTGTTTACTCAATCAAGTGGAGATATGGTTGATTTTCACAATTCTGTGGTTTTCCAAGCACTTCATTCAGAAGAAAATTACCTTCGAATTCAAGTAAGCTTACATACAATCTCATTGAATTTAATTCTAATTTTACAAATTAAATATATTTTTCGTCTCTAAAGTATATACAAAATGTACTTTAATTCTCTAATCACTGATTATGCCACTTTGGTGGTTGAATGATGAAATTTGTGTCTAAATGATTTAAACGCTAACTACCTTCTCAACTCGTCGCGATGCAAATATAGTTTTGAAATCCCACCAAAAGTAAACGGGTCATCTTCCATCCATGTATTGTTTGATTAGGTGGTTAACAGTTTGATATAACACATACTAATATATTGCTTGCAAAACCAGGAAGACACATTGACTGGTACAGAAGCTTCAGTTGATGTTGCGACGAAGGCCAACTTGGAAAAACTGGTAAAAATAGGTGAAAATCTACTGAAGAAACCAGTTTCAAGGGTGAATTTGGAGACGGGACTCCACAAACCAGTTGAAAACGCAGGCACAAATGAGGATGCTCTCAAGAGGTAAAAAACAATAGACATTATTTGAAAACGTTTTCTTGAAGTATTTTTTCGTAAATAAAACACATATTTTTATCACATATTTTTTTTTCTTGAAAGCAAAAGCCAAAAAAGACATGTATGATAACTATTTATGGATAATATATTTTAATCTACAAGTAATATATACATATAATTAAGCTTAAAGAAGAGAGTAAATCCAGATACAAGCAATTCTTTTTTGCGCTTAGAGATATATAATTTTTTTGCTTCTCGCTTTTCAATGGTACTTTTTCACCAAAACAAATACATGTTCTTATTTAAAAAGTAAGAAATAAAGTAAGCTCGAGAGTTATTTGTATTTTCTTATTATCCACAAAAGTTTAAAATATTATGTTTTTACCTCTCACAGGTTTGCCAGACTACTTTGCAATGAAAGGAGACTTCGAGAGTTAAGATCGCCACTGACCAGCAAGGCACTGACCAACAAGGCTCAAGCGTCAAGCCTCAATGTTGTGCATCACATTGTTATCCCTTGACCATATGCCCGTTTACTTCTCATATTTGTCGTCAAATTTAACTATTTTTTATTCTTTGCACAAATTTGTAAAACATGCTATGCGATCGAAAGATAGACGTTCTTTAATTAGAAAATATTTATAGATTTTCATTTCTCTTTGAACGGTGAGAATTTGCCCACATCAACAAACTTTAACGTGTGATATCTCGACTCAAAGCCTTGGTGACACTAGTGCAACCATTGTCTACTTAAGGGAGGGCTCATGGGGACCTTTGACCCCCCAGAAAAAGCATAATAGTTTCATTGATCTCTCTCTGTCTCTCTCTCATATACAAACACACGCCCACACTTCCGAACCTTTTCATTTGCATATCATTTGATTCAATGAATTTGTGTGATTCACCAAAAAACAAAAGACAGTCTTGAAAGGCTTGTAAGAGTTTCTTGTCTTGAAAGACAAGAAGTAAATGACCCTATAACATACCATGCATGAGTTTGAATTTCTAGGTTTGGTTTTATACTTAATATTACCCTGATTTTATAAGAATTTTATTGAGAAACTGATTATTTCGAAAATAATTATTAAGCTATGAAAAAATTTGATTTGTTGAGAAGTTGAGCTTGGGTCATCTCAGATTCAACTTGAATATTCGCAAACTCATGCGCACTCCAGCAATAAACTCGAGTTACTCAAGAGTCCTAGAACTTGGCAGGAGTTTCAAAACTTCCCTTTGGTACTTGAAAAAAACATCACGCATGTGTAATTAAAAAAAGTGAACATATAAAACTGGCGTATCAAACTGGTGTTCCCTTAATGAATAGAAAAAAAAGGATAAACGTACATTAAGTTGCATGTGTTTTATTAGTAAATAATGATAGATTCACAGAAGAAACTGTCAGATGATGTTGTGTTGATAGTGTGAAAGAGAGAGACTTTGGTTCTTTTTGGTTTTTTATGACTATCACAGTAATATCATTTGGTTCTTTTTTTTTTTTTTTTATGAGTCCAACAATATCCTTTTCTAATTAAATTGGGATAATGCTATATGACTAGGAAAACATACTAAATTTTGTGACGTTGATGCGGTGAGCAAAACTAGAATTAAAATGAGTAAAAATAAAAGTAAGGGCACTACTATGTTGGTATAGTACCACATTATTTGGTCTTTTTAATCATTCTAGTTAGGACGGTCAAAGTTTGACACGACACAATTATATGAATTAAGTGGATTTAAATGAAATTTTAACGGGTTTGGGTGATAAACGAGTTAACCAGTCTAACACATTTAATAAATGGGTCATGTTCGGGTGAGTCATATCAACCCGTTTACCTGTTTAAATAAAATTAATATAATAATAAATTAATAATTATTTTTAAAAATTAAGCAGATTTTTTTTAATGACAACCACAGAATATATATTATTTTTAGTGATGGCCACATTTTTTTTTAATTTAGTGATAGTCACAAAAAATATAATAATAAATTAAAACTAAACAGATTAAATGAGTCGTATCGTATTACCCATTTATTAAATGATTCGTGTTCGTGTTGAGGGTTTTCACCCTTTTATGAAACGAATCGTGTATGAGTTTACATATTTTTCATCTGTCACCCGGTTAACCTAACACGTAACTATTTAACTTAACACGTTTGACACCCCTAATTTTAGCATTATCCTTTACATTGGTAAAGAAGAAATAAGGCCTTCTTATCCATCTTCCTTGATTGCTTAAGCACTGCCTTTTGAGCATCATTAAGCGCTTGCTCTTCCTCCATAGTCGGCTCGATGTAACCTTTTTCAACAATGTCCCAAAGATCTTGAGATTGTAACACCACCTTGATTTGAATACTCCAATTCTCATAGTTATCTTTTCCCAATTTGAAAAATTGGGGTTGAAGCACATTACTCATAGTAGCCATAACAATCTGCTCTGATACCACTTTTGTTGGGAATTAGAAGAAAAAAAAACTACTAAAGAGCACAAAAATAGAAGATGAAAAACTGCTCCACTTCCACACTAATTTCACTCAAGAAACATCTTTATATTTCATCAAATATGATCACAATATCAAGGAATACATGAGGAGCAACTTATCAGAATTTTTCAGCAGTAAACACTCAAGAAAATTCAAAGAAATAGAGCTTCTGCTCATGAACAAGCTGCTGTTTTTTTCAGGCAGCAAACACACTGTTTTTCTCACTTTTTCCTCTCTATTTTTCTGCACAGAGACTCTCTATTTTGGACAGTAACTCCGGCCCCTTTTATACTGATTTTTCCTAGCCAAAACACTCTAAATTTGGCCACTTTATGGCTGGCTACCCCAAGAAAAAACTGTTCAACTTTCCATGCAACCATACATGAATAAGTCTCCCAAATACATGAATAGACTTCTCAAAAATATTCTGGACACTTCTGGTATATATCACTTCAAATACCATGACTTTTCAATACCCAAAAATACAAAAAAAATACCCCTTAAAAAAAATAGAGTTTATAAAACTAAAATTCCCCCTTAAACTCAATTCCTTGAGTTCTCATGCCTAGCATCATTTTCAATTTTCTGAACACATCATGCTTCACTGGCTTTGTAAAAATGTCGGCAACTTGATCTTGAGTATTGCAATGTATCAAGTTCACTTCTTCATTTTTCACATGCTCTCTAATAAAATGGTAACGTGTATCAATGTGTTTATTCCGTTTATGAAACACCGGATTCTTTGCCAACGTCATTGCCGATCTATTATCAACAAGGATCTCTGTGGGAATTTCTTGAGAAAATCCCAAATAATTCAACAAGTTCCTCAACCAAATAGCATAACAAACTGTTGAGTTTGCAGCCATATACTCCGCTTCACATGTAGACAAAGTAACAATTGTTTGCTTCTTGGATGACCAAGTAAAAGCCGTATCTCCCATGAAAAAACAATAACCCGAGGTACTTTTCATTTCATCCAAATCTCGTCTCCAATCACTATCTGAATATCCAACAAGTCTAAAATTATTAGTGTAAGAATAAAATAAGCCATCATTGAGTGTACCTCTAATATAACGTAGAATCCTCTTTGCTCCATTAAGATGAGTTTGATCCGGTGTTTCCATGTATCTACTAACTAAGCCAACTCCATAAAGAATATCTGGCCTCGTGCAAGTAAGATACCGAAGACTTCCAACTAAACTTTTGAAGTAAGTTGGATCAACATTTTCACCACTAATTCTCTTCCTCAATTCCAATCCAACTTCAACGGGCGTGTTCACCGGGTTGCAAGAATCCATCTTGAACTTCTTGAGCACTTCCTTTGCATAACCACTTTGAGAAATAAAAATTCCATCTTCTCTTTGCTTTACCTCAATGCCAAGGAAATGAGACATTAAGCCAATATCAGTCATTTCAAACTCCTTAATCATACTTCTCTTGAATTCATCAAACATCATTGGATCATTGCCAGTGAAGATCAAGTCATCAACATAAAGACAAACAAGTAACACACTTCCATTCCCATCCATCTTCATGTATAATGCATGCTCATAGGGACACTTTTGAAAAACATTCTCATGTAAATATTTGTCAATTCTAGCATTCCATGCGCGCGGTGCTTGCTTTAATCCATAGAGAGCTTTTCTCAACTTGTACACTTTATCTTCATGTCTCTTCTTCACATACCCCAAAGGTTGTTCAACATAAATCTCCTCTTCAAGAAATCCATTCAAGAATGCCGATTTCACATCAAGTTGATAAATTTTCCATTTGTTTTGTGCCGCAAAAGAAATCATCAACCTAATTGTTTCCAAACGAGCAACGGGAGCAAATACCTCGTCATAATCAATTCCGACCCTTTGCTTGTAGCCTTTAGCAACTAACCTTGCCTTATATCTTTGGACTTCACCATTTGCATCCTTTTTGGTTTTATACACCCACTTCACACCAATTGCTTTTTGACCTTGGGGAAGACTAACTAGTGTCCATGTATCATTCTTTTCATTTGCTTTCATTTCTTCATCCATTGCTATTCTCCATTTCTCTTCTTGAATCGCTTCTTCAAAACATAAAGGATCACAATCCATGAATAGACAAAACAAATTCAAGTTACCTTCAAAATTTTCCGTAGATTCATATATCTCTTGCAAACTTCTCATTTTCCTTGGTCTTTGACTTGAACTTGAATCTAATGATGATGATGATTCACCTGTAGAAGATGAGGGGGATCCATGTGGAGGTGTCTGTGGCTCTCTTTGGACTTCCCTTGGTTCTTCGGACTCTTCTTCTTCAAGCATAAGTTCCACTTCAGTGGCTGAAATTTTTCCTTTCCAATCCCACATGTCTTCCTCTTCAAAGATAACATCTTTAGTCATGATTACTTTCTTGGTAATGGGGTTGTATAACTTGTACCCCATTGTTCTATCACCATACCCAAGAAAAATGCACTTTTCACCTTTATCATCAAGTTTTGTCCTCCTTGCTTCGGGAATCTTCGCATAAGCAATGCATCCAAAAACTCTAAGATGGGCTACACTCGGCTTGAATGAACACCAAGCTTCCTCCGGAGTCTTAAAACGAACACTTTTGGTTGGACATCGATTCAACAAGTACACTGCACATGCTACAGCTTCGGCCCAAAATTCTCTAGGCAATCTCTTTCCTTTCAACATGCTTCTAGCCATATCAAGAATAGTTCTATTTTTTCTTTCCGCAACTCCATTCAGTTGAGGTGTATAGCTTGGCGTGAATTGATGCACAATTCCATGCTCCTTGCAATAGTCTTCAAATAAATCGGAACTATACTCACCACCTTGATCGGATCTCAACCTCTTGATAAAATAACCACTTTGCTTCTCAATAAGATTCTTGAACTCCTTAAAAACTTCAAACACTTCGGACTTCCTTCTTAAAAAATAAACCCAAGTCTTCCGCCTATAGTCATCAATAAAAGTAAGAAAGTAACAATTGTTACCATTTGACATAGGCTTCAAAGGACCACAAACATCGGTGTGCACAAGCTCCAATGGTCGTGATGCTC